GAGAGCCCCATTATTTTTTTATGTTTTACATTGTGTCCAGGGATTGATAATCTATAATATCCTTGTGCTGTAAATTCATGTGTTATTTCCCACATGACTAGACGCATGGTACGGCCTGGACAACGTATTTCATTACGTACAGCAGTAATGTCATCACGTGCGGCCATACGTGATGACATTACTGCTGTTCAAAATTGAACGTCTCTTTGAAACGAACAGATCGTTAAGATCCGTTCCCTTCCCAGAGCCGTATATCCCATCTTTAACTCCAGCTACGTCCACATACTGCATCCATATATCTTCTTTTTGCCTTTTTGATGAACCTGTTTTACCAAACCCATCCCAGTTGCAACACGTTTGATGAGACGGAGCAGCTAAAGTAAAAAAATATAGGAGGTTAGACACAGTGATTCTTCCTCATCCCCTCATCCTTCCTGCCAGAACTCGTAAAAAAAATTAAAAAAAAGATAGGAGAGAAGATTGTATTAACACATGCATGCCCTGCTTCAGGAAGACGTCATTCTAATAGTTTGGAGCTCTGGAAATCAGAGCTTCCTGAAGATGGTTTGAATATTAAAGAGATGAGGAGTAAGGGAAACAAATATTACACAGTAATTTTGTTTGTTTTTTGAAGAATTAGTTTGAAAATAGCTCTTGATGCAGACCAACATGCTTTTTCTTGAGATGGTGCATGTGTGTTCTGTGAAAAATAAATCATGGTCTCTGTGTGCTTGTAACATCTCTGCTATCCAACTGTGGAATCATGAAAACAGTTTTAAGGGCTGGACTTAAACAAAAAGTTAAAGGAACTTATTTGATCCATTCTAGGTTTTGACAGTTCTGAATATGTAATGGACAAACTAATGTCGATGTCACCACTGCCTGCTACCAAAGGCAAGGACAGAGTGTGTGAGAGAGCAGAATATGTCATGAGTCTGGATGTGAATGAAACGTTCAGAAGCTAATCATTGGATGTACATCTACAAGTGATTGCCTTTGGGAGTCAGTCCCATTCAAGATGGCCTCCACAGCTAAGCAACCTTAGCAAATAAATAAACAGCTACAACTCAAGTCAGTTTTGTAGGTAATGAGCAAAAAGGTGGCGTGGAAGTAGCTGAGAGTCTCCCATAACACCTATTCTACGTGCTATTGAGCAAAATCTGTTTTTAAAACTTGGTCATTTACTCCTGGAGTCCACTGTGTCTGCTACTCAGCAAATTGTCTCCTGAAACACCAGATGGATCAATAGTCATGTACTACCCATTAAATTTCAGACCTGACCCAAAAACAAGAAGGCTGCCACTGCCAGATAACCTCAGGAAACCTAAAAAGGACTGTCAGTCAGTTTTACACATACTGGAGCTTATGGTCATCCTCATATGTTTGAGCAGTAAAACTTATCACAGAAGCTCCCAATGAGATGTGACCTAAACAGCTCCACCTTCACCCATTTTCAGTTAAAACTCTGGCAAGAATTACATCAGGTGATGTGCATTCCTTTAGGCCATAAATATACTTTGATCTTTTTACTTGGCTCACTTGCGTTTCTGTTTGTTTTAGTTTCAGCATGACTTTCCTTTTGCGTCCCACTCTCAAATCCTGTTAATTTTCTACCCCCCTTCCCGCACTCCAGTTTTTAAATGCAGAGGCACAAAATTAGTATCACAGCCCTCATCAAGTCTGCAAGAAAACAAACAAGGATTTCCCAAGTGGAATTCCTTCCATATAAGCTCCCTGCAGGATAAGAAAACCCATAATCCCGTGAGATGCTTCAAACCTTCTCAACACCTTGTGGATTCTCTCAAAAATCATTTATATTAGACTAAAAGCAGTGCTGTGTGTTTTAAAGCTCCTTAAAAGCTTTCCTGTGGTGACAATGTTTAACCTAAAGTTAGATTTTGAATTAATTTGCTTCACATTTTGGCAGAACATAGCATTTTTTAACAACTTTCACTGACTGAAAAGTTTGGATGGAATAAAACATCATGAAATGTTTTAAAACAAAGCAATATTTAACATTTAGAAATTCATAATTAGTTTCTTTTTTTGTCACAAGTAGCATAATTAGAAGATTCTGAGAAAATGTTATGTATCAAGGTTGTGCTCTATTTAAAATTCCCACAAATGAGATGGCTGCAGAAAATGTGCAGATATATTTCTTAAAAACACATTTTAATTGTCAAAAATTTCATTAATGTTGTAGGAAGAAGACAAAGTGCATCGACAGGGTTTGTGGGGGGGGTCTAGATCAGATGAGACACACAAACACAGACACATGCAAAGAGAGACACCCAGATGCCAAAGATTGCTGCAGAGCCTGGTCTCAGATTACCGCAGCTGAAAGCCTGCTGCACCCTGCCAGCTGGTCCTGACCCAGTGCGAGGACGAGGATGAGTGACATTTGAAGTAGCTTCCAGTGTACTCGTAACAGAAAGTTAGCACAAAAATGCTAACAACGCTTTAATGACGATCGTACTATTTAAATTCCACTGACGTTTTATCAAACTGGAGATTTAAATAAAAGATTTTTGCAAAAGCCAATAAAAACCAGCCAAGATCATTTGTTCCCTCAGCTTTAATGTACAAAAATAAAATCGGAATAAATAAAAGTGACCTTTAATATCGCAGCTTGGCCCATGGTATTTGAGCAGTAGGATCCCACTGAAAAGAGACTGAGGTTATTTTGGGTCTGGCTGCATGCCTCACAGTGGACACGCTGATCTACTGGTTGCAACATTTGACCAGAGGTTGCATCAGATGAACTGTGGCCCTTTTATTTAGCATGACTACCATTTGACCTCTGCTGTTCTTAAAGGTTTTCAGCTACTCTGATAGTTTCAATACTCTACTGTGACCGAACGTTCCTAATCCTGGGTGTGCACGAGCCGTGACACTGATTTATCCTTGTCAAGTCCTTTGTTGAGCACTGATGCAAAGCCATACAGCAGCTCCGAGCAATAGCAATGTACCAAGATAATACCTAGGATAATCCTTTATCCTGTTAATCCTGTGTCTCTCTCTCCTCAGTCCCTCGTAACCATGACCAGAACACCATCCTTGATGCCGACTTTGACATTGAGCTCGGCAACACGGCACATGAAGCCAAAGATGATCCAGGTAAATATTCAACAGGCACAATAGGCAAAAGTTGATAGACTAACCACATGAGTGATGGAAAAAGAGGTAATCACCTCCTGCATAGCTGTTATGGAGGTGAAAATGTTCTCCGATGTGTGTTTAAAAGAGGTGACACAGTAAACTTAGAAGCATCATCTTAAACAATGACTCTCAGCCCAGAAAGCAATTTCAGACGTCGTCTACGTCTCACTTGCTGATGGCTCAAATGATCAATTGATTAGAAGCACATCAGTTTTCTGCTCAGCACATCTACTTTATACAGGACTTAATACAGAAATTCCCTTCATTAGTACCGGCAAGCTTTGTGAAGCAAAAGGATTGTGCGATATTCACACAACATCAGTGGTGGGCACAGATAATCAAAAAAATTAGCTTATTTATATTCCACAAACTAAAAAACTAGCTTTGCTAACGCTAAACTGCTAAACGGATTTTAAAAAAAATTAACAGAACTTAACACTAAACCAGTAAAGCTTTGACAATTGTCACTCAGTCTGCATCACGTCTTTGTCTCCTTCCAGTTGAAGCTGCGTCGACCAATCACATCTTGTCGTGTGTGCCAGCAGTAAGCCAGTAGCATGCCTAACGGACTTTTCAAGACACGGCCATAACAGACAAGCTAGTGAATTTTGTTAGCAGACTTAAAGTTGGCAAAATCTAATTCAGTGGGAACTATTCTGCCAACAGTTTCTAAAGTCAGTGAAAACGCTAATCCACTAAGTGAAATTTTTGTTCTGATATTAGCTGTTAGGATATTAGCAGAACTTTGCCCACCGCTGCTCAACATGATTTAATAATGCCAGTGGAGAAAAAAAAATACAAAAATGGCCTAATGATTTATTTTTGTGTTTATTCATTGTGCATCCTTTTATTTAGTCTGTCAAGAGAGAAAACCTGTTTTGCTTAACAAATGAATGAAAAGTGACTCATTATTCCCTGGAAACCCTTTTTAAGAGACTAAATGATTGAAGTTATTTTTATCTTTGGAGCTATTTGTGCAACAAAGCATCATTTATTGGACTGACTCACTGATAAAGTCTCAGCGTATTAAGTCACTAAGAAGATATCCTGATGCATGCTCAATAATCCAGGTAGAAAAATCTAAAAAAGTTAAGGTCCTCTGGACCTGACTTACTCACTAAGAAGAACAACTTTAAGCTGAAACAATGTATTTTTAAAATGTTTGCAACAAGAACTAGGAGCAGAAAGTGAACATTCACAAACTCTCAACTCTAGTGCATTTGATTGTTCCTCAAAAGTATCAAATATCCTCGTAAATGATGAAAAATCACTTTATTTTCATCAGAGAAAGCTCCAGATGTCCTCCTGTTGACATTCAAAGTACTTCTGTTTACCAGTATATGTGTGATCCCGACACCTCACCTGTTGCTCTGTTCAGAATCTGGCTTTTTGAGCTGCTTCTTTGATGACGGTCTGTGTGGTTGGATCAGGGACAAGGATGGAGACTTGCACTGGGAGACCACACCTGATCCAGCAGGTAACTAGAGTCGCCTATTTGCACTTTTATGATACAAGGAAAAGTGTTTAAAATATTAGAAGTAGAAGTTGACCAGGACTCCCAGCAGTTCTGTAAATCAGGAAAAACTTGTAAAATTAACATTTTCCAGACAGGGAAATCTCTGGGAATTTGATCACCGCTCTGCTGGTAAAAGATGTTATTTCTGAGATTTAATGTCGACATGCATTAATGCTAGTATAGTATATTTGAGTCCATGTACTGCTTCTACTGTGTTCATAATGTAGACTTATTGATTGACTATGGTGGCTTTTTTAGTTTGACATTTTATGCAATATATTTAATATCAGGATAGATTGCCGTATGCACGTACTGTAGGCTACCATACACTTCCTGTCGGCTCTGAATGGGACTCTGTTGCCCTCTGAGCATTTTGCGTGACTGAAATATATCCGTAAGTTTCAATATTTACTCAGGAGAAAAATCAGGGAAAACTCTGGCGATTTTGTTTTCATGAAATGCTGTCATTTTAAATTGAGTATGACAAAATTATTACTTAAAAAATACCTAAAAAAATTTACCTAATTGCATCACATAATGATTAAATCCTGGAATTGCTGTTTGCAACTACATTAGAATCAGTCCAATGGCATCATATTTGGCTAAACACATACAGACATGGGCTAAAACATTATCACTCTGCCTTTGACTTTTGGCAGCATGAAACAATAAACATTTATCAAACGTCTAGGAGAACCTCCTAATTGTGTTACAGCTGACTGAAGACTATGAATCCAGTTTTAAAGTAGCTTAGAGTTCTCCTGTGAAAATAACAGTTAATATTTGGCACTTCAATATAAATGGCTACAGTAAATAATGATGTGCTTCTTGTAAGTAGGTATGTTGTCTTTGTTAAAGTGAGCACAAAGTGGCAGCTGTTCATGCTGATGATTGTCCTCAAAGCTGGGGGCAGGGACCCACTGTGGGTCAAAAAGTAATAAGTGATTTCCAAGAATCTACTAATTTTTTTTAATGATTGCCAATAGCACATTTTTACCAGAACTGATTAAAAAAAGTTAAAATCAGCAGTAATATGTGGATGGAAACACTTTAACAGTTATTTAAGCCTTGCTGGGCTGTGATTGTTGGTGACTAGTTGGTGAACAGCATCAGTGTTAGTCAATCCATAACTGGGGCTGAGGTCGCCGAGTTAGTTAAAAAGCTCTGCGGCGACAGGGCTCTGGGGGTGGATGAGATTCGCCCTGATTTACTTAAAGCTCTGGATGTTGCGGGGCTGTGTTGGTTGACACGCCTTTGCAATCGCAGGGGCATTGGGGGCAGTGCCACTGGATTGGCAGACTGGGGTGGTTGTTCCCTTCTTCAAAAAGAGGCCAGAGGGTGTGCTCTAATTACAGGGACATCATTCTCCTTAGCCTCCCTGATAAGGACTATTCAGGGGTACTGGAGAAGCGATTCCAATCGTTGGTCGAACCTCAGATCCAGGAGGAACAATGCGGGTTCTGTCCTGGGCATGGAACATTGGATCAGTTCTTTACCCTCACTAGGGTCTTTGAGGGGTCATGGGAGTTTGCCCGTCCAGTCTACATGTGTTTTGTGGACTTGGAGAAGGATTTCGACCATGTTCCTCAGGGTACACTGTGTGGGCTGCTCTGTGAGTATAGGATTGGGAGCCCGTTGCTACGGGCTGTTCGGTCCCTATATAAGCGTTGCGATAGTTTGGCTCACATTGCCGGTAGTAAGGTGGACCCCTTCAGGGTGGGAGTTGGATTCTGCCAGGACTGCCTGTTGTCATGAGTCTGTTTATAACTTTTATGGACAGAATTTCTTGGTGCAGCCAGGGGGCAGAGGGAGTCTGGTCTGGTGGTCTCAGGATTCCTTCTCTGCTATTTGCGGATGATGTGGTCCTGCTGACTTCATCCTGCTGTGATCTTCAGCTCTCTCTCAGCTCTGAGAGTTGAGACAGTGGCAAGGCACTATAATGCCCCTTTTCCATTAGTACCTTTAGTACCGGTACAGCACGGTTCGACTCGGCTCGGTACATTACACATTATGTTTCCATTGTACTTTCAGTACCGGTTCTAGTGGGCAGGGTTCAAACTGATGTCACGCGCCTTCCCAGCTGGTGGTGGTAAGACCCTGAAACAGATTTCAGTACAGGGTGAGAATTTATTTAGAAGTTTCTGGTAAATTAAAAAGAATACAGATTATTAAAATGATTTAATTAAACACACGCACGCACATAGGTTTTATATATATATATATATATATACATATATATATATATATCCTGCTAATTAACTTTAGTTCACCATTAAATCTCTGATGAACCAGATTCTACTTTGTACAAAAACATCTATATTTAATATTGTATAGGTTTTCTTCATCATTTAATGTATTTGCACTCATTGTGTTTACTTTTATTGGTCAATTAGATATGTGGTTTTGTTTCTTGTTTACATATTTTTTTATTTATTTTTAGCTTAGCTTTAATTTAATTCTTGTTTGTGATTTGTACATCTGTGGGTTAGAATAAAGTTGAACTAAAGGCTGGATCTCTTCTTTAAACATGTTTGACGGAAATATTCCTGAGAGATCCAATAATTTAGTATTTTTATGATTTTTCAGCTGAGTTAACTTTAACAGATTATTTAATAATCATTAAAGTGAAAACAGGATTTCATGATAAAACCGGTACCGTTCATTTATTTAGTTTTTTTAATCTTCATTGATAAAAATAATACATTATTTTTTATACATAAAATGGTTTTAAAAATCGTTTCCACCCTCTGTCCCAAACCGTCCCGGTCCGCCCGTCTGCCGGGCGTCAGGGTTCGGCCTTCATGATCACGCGAGGCCGGAGTCTGGGCAACGGCCTTCTGTGAGTCAGTAGCTCCTATGATCCTCCGCAGTGATCAGTGGAACTCGGAGCCAGGGAGATGATGCCCTGCATGGCCTGAGGGGGCTCCGAGGCTCCAGTGGAGAGGGCCGGGGAGAGTCGGGGACCGGCAGAGCTCCATCTAGCTCGCTCTGAATTTTGTCGTCGGCCACCAAGCACAAAAAATGCCTGCACTTCAGCATTAGACCACGGTGTTGTTGTTATTGTTTTTAAAATCTTTAAAATAGGTCCAGTCGCTCCTCGAGTTGAGTTACTGCAAATGGCGGATCGGGTGTTTTGAAAATTTCTCAAAGCCCTGGTGACTCCACCCACTGACCAATCAGTGACTGACAGTGTTCTGACATCACGTTTGGTGCCGGCTCGGCCCGGATGGAACCCCAGAGACAACGGTCAGGAAAAAGGGACCAGTTCTACGAATGGTTACTACTGGAAAAGCCTTGGAAAAGTGCTGAGTCAAGTCAAATTGTGCTGTACCGTTACTAATGGAAAAGGGGTACCAGTGAAGTGGAAAACACAGGGGAAGCTAAAACACAGGTAAAACAAACTCACAGAAAAAAAGATAATAAAACTAGATAAAAGAGCCATGAGAAGACTAAAACAACACAGAGCACACAGATCCTGACACAGGACCAGCAGGTCATCAAGTTCAGCCAAAGCTTGTTAATTAGCCATTGATTGAAATCAGGTGTGTGTGTGCAGGAAACTGACTCATGAAGTCTAAGAAAGAATTTGTTTTATTGACATGAATTTTGTCCAACAGATTTTCTGTTTTCTATGCAAAAGCAGCACTTTGACCTCTGTATGTGCTTGCTTCGTAATCAGCTAAGCATGCTCAAGAAAAACAAGATTCCTAATGGCAAATATCATCCTCATTAAACATGCACACACATGCAAACATACATAAATGAATCTGATTCGTTCCCCTCAGTTACAAGTCAAGATGATTATCACTTGAAGGGATGTACTTTGTTGTCCTTTGATTAGTGCTTGGCTAAACAAAGCAGTTCAAATGAGGAGTGGATTACTTGTCTCATCAGTGGAACCTGGGGCTTCATTAAATAGAAATACAACACTGGTTTTCTTTGGCTTCCTACAAGGAGAGTACATGGTTTATTATCCTGAAAGGACACAGGAAGTCTAATCAGTTCATTTCAATTCAGTTTATTTACTGCCAATTCACAACAGAAGTTATCTCAGGGCACTGTACAAAAACATTCACATACATAAAAAAAAAACAATTTGTTTAAATGATGTAAGGAAGCCAGCAGATTTCATTGAATCTTCACTTTGCCACAGTCTCCCATTCTGATCAAGCACAAAGGCAACAGTGGAAAGGAAAAACTCCCTTTTAAAAGGAAGAAACCTCCAGCAGAACCAGGCTCAGGATGAGCGGCCATCTATTTCAGCTGGCTGGGGTTTGAGAGGACAGGAAGGCGAAACAGACAAACATAGAATGACAGGTCCAGGTGTACTTTCTATTAGAGGAAAGACAAAAAACAAGCAAACAAAACAAAAAAAAAACATGTTAAGGATATAAATAATTACAAATACAAACAAGTAAAGTAAAGACAGCAGCAAAGTGAGGAAATGTGGTCAATTTGTCCTCCAGCAGTCTAAGCCTATAGCAGCATAACTAAGGGATAGTTCAAGAAACCTAAGCCAACCCTAACTATAGGATTTATCAAAAAGGAAAGACTTAAACCTAATCTTAAAAGTAGTCAATGTGCAAGCTTCACAGACAAAACTGGAAGTTGGTTCCACAAGAGAGGAGCCTGATAACTGAAAGCTCTGCCTCCCATTCTACTTTTGGAAACTCTAGGAACCATAATTAAACCTGCAGTCTGAGAGCAAAGTTAGGAAAGTAAAGAACAATGAAATCTTTAAGATATAATGGAACTAGGTTGTTGAGAACTTTGTATGTTACAAGTAGGATTTTGAACTCTATTCTGAATTTGACAGGGAGCCAATGGTGAGAAGCAAAAACTGGAGAGATATGATCTATACCAGTGTTGTGGATTTTTCGGCTCTAAATTGCCTCAACACAGAAACAGGTGAAATGAAAGATGTCTTCAAAAATGGTCTACGTTGTTTATTGCAATACACA